CGTTGAGGTATAAATTGTTATTATTATTAATTAAAAAACTATTTAAATTATCTGAATTTGTAAGCGCTGTGGACACACATGTGGGCAAACATTTGTTTGACAAAACTATTGGAAGAAACGGTTTATTAAAAGACAAGATAAGGATTTTGGTTACAAATTGTGTCTCAATTTTGCCAAATGTGGACCAAATTGTGGTCATTAAAAATGGATACGTCTCTCAATCGGGAACCTTTGAAGAGTTAATCTCGAAAAATGATTATTTCGCCGAATTTGTGACCGAATATCTGTTGGAAGAGTCGGACAATGATCTCGAAAATGAAGAGAAAAAAATTATTAATAAATTAAAAGATAAAATGAAATTTTTGGTTAAAAAAGTTATTAATCAAACAAATGGGCGATTCTATGGGTCCGGCGTTAGAGATGAATGGAAACATCTAATGAAAAAAACGTTAATTAATTTGAGAGAAAAACGATTAAATTGTATAAAAGAAGAAAATATTATTAAAAAACAATTATTGGTTAAAACGAGTGGAAAGTTAACCGAAACCGAGAGCTCAGAGACGAGTTCTGTTGGACTCAAAATCTACAAAACATATATCCATTTAATCGGTCTCTTATTTTGTTCAGTAATTATCATGTCTTCCATCGCTTCAACAATGGCTCAGATATTATCGGGTCTTTGGCTGAGCGAGTGGTCCGACGACTCTCTCAATGCCAATAATATAAATGATACAAATCTTCGGTACTTAAGACTCAAAGTTTACGCCGGAATCGGTGTCTTCGACACTGTTTTCACTTTTATTTCAAATACATTTATCAGTTATGGATGTATTAGAGCTGCGAAACACTTGCATAACATTATGTTAGACCGGATATTAAGAGCGCCAATGATTTTCTTCGGTAAGAAAATTGTTCACATTTAGCAAAGTATTGATTAAAGTATTTTCCAGACACGACACCAATCGGAAGAATCCTGAATCGGTTCAGTAGAGACATGGATTCAGTCGATGTTTCTCTTGTATACAGTCTTCGGCTAACAATATCAACAATTTTGAGAACATTTGCTGCCGTTTTTCTCATCACATTTCAAACACCAATAATATTGTCGGCAATTCTTCCCCTGTTTTTTGTTTATTACTTCTTTCAAAAGATATATATTCGGAGCTCTCGTCAACTCTTTGCGTAACTCAGCTGGTGAGCAAGGGGATAAATATCAGTAAAGTCACTTTGTCAATCGCCAAGGTGTTCATAATCTCGCATACCTCACACCGATCAGTTCATACAGGAGTCCAATAGACGGGTCGATGCAAACCATATGTGTTATTATCCAAGCTTTACAGCTTCCCAATGGTTTACAATTAGACTGGAATTATTAGGCAATTGTATTGTTTTTTTAACGACAGTATTTACTATCTATTATCGCTTCAAATTAAGTCCAGGCATTGCGGGTCTGGCTATTAGTTATTCACTTAATATAACTCGAAATTTGAAATGGTTAGTGAATTCGACTTCAAATGTCGAAACGAATATCGTTTCGGTTGAGAGATGTCTTGAATACACAGAAACTCCGACAGAAGTAATTAATACTCAAATATTTTATAGCCATATATTTAAATAAATTACATGTAGTTTTGTAATTGAATTATAGGCCGAATTGTATAATGAGGTAACAAAATTATCGCCTGATTGGCCCGAAAGGGGAGAAATAAAGTTCAGTGAATACAGCACTAGATATAGAGAAGGATTGGATTTAGTGCTCAAAAAGATTACATTAGAAGTTCGGCCCAAAGAGAAGGTGGGAATAGTCGGCAGAACGGGTGCCGGAAAGTCATCGCTAACTCTGGCGCTGTTCCGACTCATAGAACCGGTCGACGGATCCATATTTATAGACAATCCTTTGGTAAACCCATATATCTTTCGGTGTAAACAGAATCTGAGAGAGAAAACACCAAAAATCCATTAAATGAAGTGAACGGCAAAGAAAATATTATAATGTAATTGATGTGGAGTTTTATGGCCAAAAAAATATCATATAATATAATATGTAATTACCATAAAGAAGCCATGAAGTGACCGGAGCTACAGAAATCCCACACGAAAACACCGGGTTATTCGTGTCCATTGCCAGCGCCAGTGCCGTCGCGTAACCGCCTATATATTGGCAAATATTTTATGTTTTTATTAAGTGTTATGTTATAGTTTTTGTTAATATGATGGTAATTTGGTTTAACTGTACTGACCATAACTCCAGCCCCAAATTCCTATGGCATCCTTATTAACATAGCTGAAATTGTCCCGAAAATATCTGCAATTATATTAAATAAATCTCTCAATGCATTAGTGTTAATTAGATTTCATTTAATTATATGACAATCCGTATAATCCTTTCAGTTAATACATTTCTAATACAATAAGATTGAGGTCTAATTGAGTTTTTTAAATATATTTATTATAATTAGGAATTATGCAAATGGTATTGCTTGTGTATTAAAATATATGCAAGCATCTGTCTAATAATATAAACTCTATGTGCCATCAAGAAATTTAATCTAGATTCATTTTCTACAAATATAATGCAATTTACATTTATGTATATTTACAGTATTATAAAATTTTAAGTATTTGTTCAAATGTTTAGAAATAATAATTTGGACAAAAGTCTGGATTACACAAAAGTGGCACATGTTTGCAATTGTAAATAATATAATTATTATTAAATATGAATACAGAATCCTATTGAATAAAATATAATTGTGTTGTAATTTTAAAAATAAAATACCTTTTCACTAAAGAATTTGAAATAAATAATACACTCAAATGTATAGAATCTATACTATAGATGCTATGAAATGAGGAAAATGTAAAATTTTTAATCAAAGAGTCTAAGCGTTTAGAGAAAAAGTATTAAATTCTCTATTATTCATGTGTTTTTAAAAAACTATTTCATACAAAGAATTAATAAAATATTAGAAAAATAAGTGCAGAGAGAGAGAGAGAAAGAATTAGCTGAGCGGCAAAAACGGATCTTCTCTTTCGCTTTTAGTTTTGATGAAAAGTTTTTCTACAAAAGAATTGTAACAAAAATAATCAATAACTTTAAGACGAGACAACTTTTGTATAATTCAGACAAATAGACTTCAAATACTAAATGAAAGGTTTTTACAATTGTTTCACAAAAGACTCTATTTATCAACACTTGATTCTGAACATTGTTTTTGTCTCTTATCTATCAAACATTTTTACTCATTTTCGTGATATTGTAGTAAAATATGCGATAATTGAATGATTGGCGTTAAACTAAAGCTATAAATAAAAGCATTTGTTATGCAGACAATTGTGTAGACATTCAAACATACAAAACAAAAAAGAGGCTGAATATGGGGTTTAGTTTTATCCGTCAATTCTGTGTTAATAAGCTTTAAAGCAATTAATGAAAATAATGACTCTCTCTCTCTCTCTCTCTCTCTCTCTCTCTCTCAAAGTCGACAATTAAGAGTGAAAATGTAAAATTGATTTATTCTTCAGGTCATTAGGACGTCAAGCGCTCTAAGTTTACGACAGTTATCGCAAAGTATAGTGCCATCGGATGACGGGCTCACGTATTTCATCATTTGTTTGAGACCTGATTCACTAATCGGTAGCTATTATCACATCAGCTCATTCCGATTGGATGTATGTTTGCATTTTAATACATTAAACATTTTCACTATTTTGTTACCCAACAAGAAAAAGTACTCATATAATTAGCACTCATTCAAATGTATGCATCGATTATATGCCCGCCCTCTCAGTCAAGCCGTTGCAGAATATTCTGTATATAAATAATCAATGTTTTCATAACGTATAAGCAAAATATAATTATAGTATTTGTCACACGCTTTTCAAACAACTTTTTAAAAATATATTACAAAACATATATTTCTACTGATTTTGAAAGGAAAAATTCATCGAAACATACGTTACGTACGGTCTTTACGACGTGACAAAACTGCTGTTGTTTGAGAAATCAATGCTATATTTTGAGGCCAAACAATCGATCGGCCCTTTGGAGACACAACACGTCTATAGTGTCAACGTCTCGGCGCCCAACGGAGCCGTCAAATGCCTTTCCTGTCACTATAACACCGACTGTCCGTACTTTGAGGCCCACTTCAGCCCAACCGCCGATTACTATGCACTCCAATGTCTCGGTCCAGACGTACCCAAAGTGTATTTAATTAAATCAGTCCAACAAAATAATCGTAATGAAAATTACTAATATTATTGTCACGTTTTTACATTAATCGTTTTTCTATTGTTTTTATGTTAGCGTTTGAATTGATAGTGAATGAAGAATTGGTGGACAAATTGCACCGCAAACTACTGCTCAGACATCAAATATTTACTGTTATTTCACAAAAGAAAAGTTAGTTTTTTCTGTTACTATTTTTTCAGTACATTTATTTCACATTCATTTTATTTCCTAAACCAAAATAACAGACACTTAATGAACCAATTCTGTGATAAGATAATAGTTGCGCTCAAAATATAAATTAAATAACTTTTTTCTCATTTATAATAATAATCATCATTGAGTTGTTTTGTCATCATTTTTCACATATAATAAGTGGCAGTATTTTTGTGTTCAAATAAACACTACACTAGAACTTGTTTTTTTCGTGAAATATCACTACAAATCATCAATTTTTAGTTAAAAAGCAACAAAACAAATAATAGGCATTCAATGACTGACCAAAAATATTTGTCTAAAAGATTTCATGTCATTTACGACACCCATTGGAGAGCCATTGAAAACTTAAGCAAATATTTGTATTCAATTAATGGGGACTTTAACCGAATCCCATTTGACAAAAAGCAGACAATACAAGACATAAACCCCTATTATATTGCATTATAAGATGTTTATCTGAAGATTAGTATTTGAGAGAATTAATGTCTGTATTGATTATGACATAAATTATATGTTTATCTTAAGGTTTGTCTAGAATTGAATCCAACGAAAAACACACAAAGAATTGTCATAAAAAGATTGACACAAACATAAAATGTTTGCCCAAATTAATGGCACTTTTATTATGAGATATCAAAGAATAAATTGCATTATTATTCTGTAAACGAGAGGCGATTGTTAAACAATACGAAAACTAAATCATAATTTTCTTCGACAGAAATATATATCAAACTCTTATATCCGCACGAATTCGACGACGAAGTGGTCGATAAATACTCGCTTATTATTGAAGCGTAAGTTTGCAAACAAATCACATATAAATTCATAAACAAAATTTAAGACAAATGTTTTGTCCGACAATAACCCGCATAGAAATAATCCGGAAAACGGGGTTTTAAATGACAAATATCGTATAGATTGGGCCCATTATCTCGTCTCAAAGCATCAATACATTTACGGATGGGTTGTCGCCGACAGCGAAGACGTTAGACATAATCGCGTGAAACAAAACTTTCATTTCATCGCCGAAGACATCGATAAATACCAAATTGCCGTCAATTATATCAAAGAACACAAACGATTCATAAACGGCCATAAGATGTGCATTTGGGGCAATAATATCGGCGCCTTCGCCACCATTTCCGCACTCGCGTCCAGTGATATACTTCGGTGCGCTGTATTGGTCTCACCGGTCATCAACTGGAGGCTAATGGGTATCCATTTATATTGATTACGATCTATAAATCAATACTATAGAGAGAACCGGTAATTCAATTACAATCGTTTCCCCCCTTAATATCAGATGCGGTCACTTATGAGCACATGTTTAATACGGGCCAAACGTATGACGACTTTGCCATTCGTTTCGACGGCTTTAATCTCATGAATAAAATCAATAGATTGTTAGGAAAACACATTTTACTCATTCATGGATCGGCTGACGGTATGAACAAAAGCTAAACAAATTATATATTAATTATGTATTTCTCAAAATCAATTGATTTTCTAACACAGAAATAGTTCCGATTCAACACTCAATGCAATTCATCAGACAATTAGTGAGCGAGTATTCAAAGTGTGGCGATATTGCGGAACCACTCTTACAGACGCAGATATATCCCGACGAAGACAACACATTGCTGTCTGTGAGACACCATATCTATCAACGAATTCTACTATTTTTTGACCAAACATTCATCCATATTATGCATAAAACACATGATATCAAAAGCACTTGATCTCAAATAGCCTTACAATATGTTTTCAATATCATATCAACTGTTATATCAAACAATTATCAACTAATTTGTATAAAATTTGTGTTTTTTAATAACAATTATAGTTTAAACAAATAATAGATTTTTAAAACAACAAACAGAATAAATGCATAATTTGTGTCAACATTTTAAGTATAAAAATTTAGTTTATTATTCCCATTGAAAAGAAAATAATAAAACATATCGCAAACCATTTGATCACTAAATCACTAAATAATGTGTAAATTTGTATAAACTATTCAAAATAGGGAATTAAAATACATAAAATCTAAAATACATAATAAACGATAGAATATCTACAAAATCCATGATTACATTCAAGATATGCATCCATTAGAAGATTATATATTATTATTTTGCGATAAAATCTTCGATAAAATAAAACCTTTTTGTTAATAATAAAGAATAAAATCTGTTAATAAAAAAACAATAAAACACTGCAAAACCATTTCGTCTAATGATCGAGAATACGGAGATTTCCCGAAACAATCTTTGACTCGAGTATAGCTCCGGAGGGGATATCAATGCGGTCGCCGTGGTTTGCGATTATGATAACTGTTCCTAGAAATGCCACAAAAACATGTCAAACAAAACAAAACAAACTACAAAAAGGCCATCAAAGCAGTGGACGTACCCTTCAATGTGACGCCTTTGCCGAAAGTCACGTCTCCGCTGACCGTCAAGTGATCCAATTCTATGATATCGGGAATACTGGCGAATCGGGACAAATAGTCGCGCACTTTAGAAAAGTTTGAATCACCCAATTTGACTAATGGCACGGTTGGGAAGGCTCGCTTCGGGTTCATTATCAACGAACCGTTGTTCAGCGAATACAGGTTCGACATCACCAGCAATAGATCCGACGTCTTCTTCACGGGCAAGAAACGACTTCGCGGAACGTTTATTCCGATCGCGCCCTCGAAGTCCTTCATGGCTGAGCCCACAGCGGTCTCCAACTGAATCACGTCTAAGCCGTTATCCAAGTGCTTGTTATTGATAATGATCTCCATATCGAGTCCTCCCATTTGGACCAATTGGTCGATCGCCTCGAGTTTGATCCACAAGTTATTGGTGTTAAAAATCTTAAATTTTTGAACACTCTTGAACTCGTCGACGTGCACTTTGGGCACCTGCGCTATCTCAAGCAGTCGCACGTGACCCTCGTATTGGATAAGAGTACCGCCCTTTACGTCGGCCACTGTCTTGTCGGTCACTTCCATCACATACGACGGGTGCACCGATTCGTTGGGGTCGAGCAGCGAATGCAATATATTCAGGTCAACGGTTGCGCCCAAGTTGTCAATGTTGGACAAGAATACAAACTTTCGGCCTATGGTTTCAAATGAACAAAAAATTAACAAAACAAATACAATCACACAATTAAGACAACAATAAGCGGACAAACAAATCATACCTTCATTTATAAAGTACTCTAAGAGACCGGACTTTTGAAACGATGGGTAGAAATCACCATGGCCGGGCGGGTACCAGGCCTCGGTATCGTTGTGCAGTGAGTTGGCCACAGGCATCAGCGACTCCTTGTTAATCCTGGGGTATCGGCTCTGCATGAATGTGTAGATCTTCACCCGAAAGCCCCGGTATTTGCGTAACAATTTTTGCGTGTCTTCGTCGGTGTTAAACGAGTTCATCAAAACCAACGGCACGTCCGCGTCGTATGTCTTATTCAGATTCTCGATCTGTTGTACCGTTAAGTCCAAGAATGTCAGGTCATTGCGGACAGGAATCACGGATTTAGGTCCCGTACAACCCATAGAAGTACCTATAAATACATTGAATACATAATTAGTGAGAAATATTTGCAATAAATCAATCGCTTCAACGCATACCGAGACCACCATTGAGTTTGACGACAACCAATTGGTTAAGCATTTGCCGGATCTGATCCTTTTGGGGCGCTTTGAGCGACGAGTAACTGCGGACGGCGTCCTCCGGGAGGGGCTCTATCTTCTCCCACTGGACAGCGGGTCCGACGCCCTGAAGGTATTTCATATACAACTGTTGGAAGCCCTTAAACTCCTGCTCGCAGATGGACTTCTCATTGCTGTTGGCATTCGCCGTACGAAGCAATTTGTCCAACTCTTGCGCCAACTGGTGCTGAGCGTCCCGTTTGGTCAGCTCTTTAAACTCAGTCGTTGAGCTCACTTTGCGCTGATGTCGGGTCTGATTGCCGCCGACCAGCAGTGAACCGCTGTTTGCCGTCTCGTTTGTCATACTGTTTATCTCCTAATCATTAGTTTTGCAAATCAATTAAATTACAGATATAATAGAAATGCAAAAAAAACTACAGTATATATAAAATATCATAAAACTGATCCCATTGTCGATCACCAGACATACTAACCCTCCATTTGTTGTCATTCAAAATGGTGAAAATATTTTGCGGCATTTTTTACACACGATTTTAATAAAAATTACAAAAATTTAAATAAAATAAAAATATGATCAAATGGTTTGCAGTAAAAAATTTCCAATTCAATTGTGGACTTTAAATGAATGGCATTCAAAGCTATGCTTTCGATTATTAATATATACTATTTTTTCGGTCGTTATCAAGAATTTTCATGAAAAAAATTATCTCTCATTTAATGATATAACAAATAAAGACAAGATTTAACTCAACATTTATATAAAGCTCTTCAAGACTTTAGAGTTTGATAACTGAATGTCTATTAATAATAACTTTTTTATATAACAGTAAGAAAATGTTAAATCATTTCAATGCTAGAAAAATACTGAATTTTTGTTTAAAAAATAACAAAACAAAATAAATTTCCATTATTTTGATGTTTTTGAAAAACGATCTCAGTTTTCATAATTTAAAGTCCGTTTTAATACATCAATATTTATTAAAAAAGTAAATTAAAACCATTTTATGTCTAATATTACAAATGTTTTTACGTTAAGTTTTGCACATTTTATTCACAAAAAAGTGTGTAAAAACAAATGCAAAAAACAAGTGCTTTTGATATCTACCGTGTATTAAGTCATCGATTGTTTACTAGTAATTAGTAATAATTACTATAAAATTCAATTCATTTTATGTGACAATCAATTTGTTGTCAATTCATTGACTTTCAATGCAATTATTTGCGGAAAATGTTAATCAATGGCAATAATTACAAAAAGAGACAAAAACAAAAACAATTTTTATTTTAGAAAATTTATTTAATAATTAGATAGAAATACTTTTAATTACAATTAAGGCCTCAGATGTGATCGTGTACTCAATCAACAGCACAGCCTTGTCTTCAATCGATTCAACATTCATTTCTCTCTCTCTCTCTCTCTCTCAACACATAATTTACATAATGATTGCATAGCTTTTAAAACTGTCAAAATTAGATATTATACAAAACAAATATAAATCATACAATAAAATCCATATATCATTTCAACAAATATATCGATTTGCAAACAATTAATGTCAATAACTAATTATTAAACAATACTTAATAATAGTTCAGTTCAATGAAACGTCATAAAACTCTCGCTAATCAAATCAAAGCTAAATTACATTAAAATCTATTTTATAGAGAGATCTATCAATAGTAGTGAACATAATATCTCTAAAACACAAACTTTCAATTAATTAAAATATCAAAAATTGATATAACAATCATTTAATGCACTTAAAAATCCATTTAAAACATGTTTCAATTGCCATATACTATAAAACATGTTCACAAAATGTGATAAAAGGCATAATTAATTGCACCACAAATAGTGCACAAATTAGTTATAACTTTTAGTTTAAAATAAATGTACAAATTGTGGTTAAGTACAGAATGCTTAACAAAAATCACTCCCCGTTTACAACATTTTTAATGAGAAAAAATAACTAAATTCAAGGATAAATCTCATCAATAGATTAGGCAAATAGCAAATCAAATTAGTTTTATTATTAGTCGGTTTCCCATCACATGTATTGTCACACAATTTTCCACATCTCATCAAACAAAACAAATTTTCAACAATTTTCTATTTAATTAGTAAATGATTGGAAATTTTTTCCATTAAAATCCTAACTGTTTATCAGTAAATAAAAGGCCAATACTTTCAGACAATAGGCGATTAAAACAGGAATTTTGTGAAACACTTGGCAAACAAAGTGGACTGACAGTGAAAAATCATAAATACCGAGATGTTATCGACTATTTTACATACGGGATGTCATACCCGCGGGATAGGGGGTACTCAAGTGGGGGTCGGAATTGGGAGATATTAATGCTGTGCACAGAATCGGTAACACATTTGCATTCAATTCACGCCTGGCTTTGCTTTTGAAGGCAATCGAGTCGTCGATTCGTGTCTTTCAATATTCACTAAACCAATACATTGACTACAAATTGATCGCAAATAAATGCATTTTTCAGTACATATTTCACACATTTTCGTCACTATATGTGTATATATTATGCAAAACTAAACATTTTAGTGCAAAAATTACACCCAATTCTGCAGTTATAATGCATTTACAATACATTTCAAAAGTCGATAGACTTTTATCGCAAAAAATTCAATACATTATTGAAAAAAGAGAAAAATTATATCAAATAAAAATTAATCGTTTTATCAATTGTTTACACAAAGACTTAATAAATCACATAAACCTACGGTTGAAAAAATGCCCGGCATTTAATATATATGCCCTTATATGCCCGGCACGTGCCCGGCATATGCCCGGCACGTTCCACCCAAAAAGCTCACACACCAGATGGCGTAAGTAGTAAAGTGTGTC